TGATTGTTGCATATAACTTGCACGGACTGTGAGTCACGACCACATTAAATGCCCCTTTTAACACGATTGATAACAACCATGCATAAGAGGGTGTGAATGTACGTATGCTGGTTGTGGAATCCCAGTGAAGTCACGTTTGCTGCTCATGTTAGGACGACGGAATCTGTTTCGTGAAAAGCCCATGTCTTGTCGATGAGCCAATGTTTTCGCCAGCACTTGCAGTTGCTCCCCGTTAGTCGGGTGATGGCAGGGAACTGCCTCGATGATAAGTAACTGCGAATCAGTACAGTGGGCCAGCTAGCCGACAGCTGTCTTTAAATGTGATATGCATAGCTAATTCAAAGAAATATGATTATTGTCGTCAGACGTTTTACTCCCATGAAGCGTTACTCCTGTGAGGCTGATTATTAGTGAGTGCAGTCACTATCTCTAGACTATTGTAGGTGTGCAGTGGCCGCCATTCGCACCAGGATGGTAAGCAGGCGATGCCATATAGTCTAAGCAGTTGAGCGAATCACAAGGTCCCGACAACGGGATGAATTCGAGATGCCAAAAAGGATCAAATGCCGCCAATCATTTCCACACGCACAACTAAGCTAAACAACTAGATAATAATATATTTTATAAAGATGGTATTCCGACGAAAGAGCCCCGTTACCTCGCTGATTAGGATTTGTAAACGCATTCAAATATCATTACACGTCATGTGCGAGCATGTAAAAAGACGAAACATACCAGAGCTCCTCCAAATTATTGGGTCGCTTGTTGTGTGTTACGGAATTTGGGCTCGGGAATCTCGTGATTGCCGTCCTGTGCCGATGAGGAATCCGTCGGTTGATCGTGATAATATTGCTGAAAATGAAGAGCCAATACTTCTATTGCGCGGACGGTCAGCAGGAGGGATGCCGTCCAAAGATTGTCCAAGAAATGTCGAGAATCTTAACTGGAAATCCTGGACGTAACAAATGCGTTATTGTTTGATAAACGCGTCGTTTTAATTTTGCAACATAGGTTTCGCAAAATAGGGTTGGTGAGGCCAGGCGGGGAAAACAATAGCACAAAATACGCTAGAAAATAGGGTACTTACCGAATTTGACCCAATGTCCTCTCGAAGACGTTCTGTAGCGGAGTCCACCCCCCCCCCCCCCCCTCCCACCCCCAAACAGAATAGGAAAATGCGGCCCTAGTCCAATGCGTTTGCTTGCTCTGTCTCGGTGAAACATGTTGTCGTTGTGCATCATTCTAATTTTGTTTGGCGTCAATCGTCGAAACCAGGCCCCGGTAATCGACGTAAGGTTGATGTCATGTGGTTTCAGACGCTGTTGGAGGTGTACGGCCAAGGGAACAAAGAGTGTAAGCTGCTTTGCGCTACAAGTAAGGTCTGCCATGAAGATCCCGGCTGACTGCCGCAGGGCGGGCGCAAGCGCATCACTCCCGTTAGACATGTTTGACACAGCTGGTGTTGGTGGTCATGGCCGGACGGATATCACTCTCAGTTTAGTCAGCTGGTGTCAATCGCCAGGTTTCTGTAATTGTGTCGTCGAATACTCGCATTGAAGTGAAGGCCGACATATTTCAAGAGTTTCTCCGAACGTAGGCGGCTAATAACTTGGCCACCTTTTGGGTGCAAATATTCCACCGATTTGTTTTCATTTTCCGATAAGACCATGTAACAAAATAACGCAGCTTTCTGCGGTCTGTACAACTTGTAACATCACTGAAAAATGCGAAAGCACTGGCGAAAGCACAAAACTAGACTATAGTCAACTATAGTTATAACTCGCGTAGTTAAAAACATGTAGTATCATGCAGCAAAAGCAGGGAAAAAACTGCAGTGCACAAAGTACGAGCGCGAGGCTTGTTAAGTGTGACTAATTCAGTAAGGTGCACTCAAGTGGACATTATATCATAGTTTTCATTTTGTTTGGCCCGTTTACCCGTGAAACATTTGGTAGATGGGCCCTTCTTTAAATTTCATCCAAGTTCCAGATTCTTTTTGTAATGCCCTACATGCGATTGCGCTCCAGAAAGTTGTGGGGCAAACTCACCGTTGAAGGGAGGGGGACAATTTTTTTTTGGGGGGGGGCGAGGCAGTGCCTCACCCAAAAGAATACTAATCAACACGCGTGCCAATGGGCAAACGAAACAGATGACGCATCTTGAGGAAGATGGCTGGTGAACTAGGTAAATCACCATGCATGGTTAAGGCAGTACAAAAATAAGGTGAACGCAACATACGTCTGAAAAAGTGGGCGGCAAGTTAACACTGCTGGCCCCATCTTAAAAAGCGTGTTGGAGGCATGACCCTGCGCTTCCCAAGTTCCTACACCCATGCTTAACATAAGTGAGCTTATTTCATCAAATATGATGCTTGCTCCAATATTTTCAAATGTGGAACATGTCCTTCACCATACATTTTAACTACATCTATCAGAACTACCTTTCTGGCATTGCGTAACCTTTCATAACCTCACATTTGACCTAAGATTAAACATTTGGTGAGCACTTTTTATGACTTTACGAGGCATTCACGACGGTATGTTTGCTTGCACCTTTGTATCTTTGAGCGCAACGACTGGAAGTTGGAAATCCCAGACCGGAAATCAACCCCGGCTGGGCGCAGTGGTCTCAAAGCCCTGCCAGACGAGAACAATCGAAAGACGGGCATCAGCTGCTTGCATTTAATACCTAGACAAGCTGTAAGATGGTGTAGACTTGCGGACAACCTGGCCAAACTAAGGTAAACTGGGTGAGTTACAGGGCTGGAGGCAACCCGTCCCGACGGCTCTCTTTTGTGAGACGCACGCGTTCATCAGCCGAAACCAGCGCTTCATTTGCTTTCATCGTAGATGCCACCACCAAGCCGTACCCGGACCACCCATGCACAGGGATTCAGTTGAATTCCATGGACAGTGCCCCTCTTTGCCGACTGCACACTCTGGGCACAGGTGTTTCCGACCTAGCGGCATCAGACATCTATGGTTTCTTTTATTAAAACCCGTTTCGTGAATTTGGTGGTCTTATCCACCATGTTTGCGTCGCGTTCGCCTCAAAGGGCTGGTGAAATGTTTTGCAACTAACATCTGTGTGCGTTGAGGCGAGGAAGAGGGGGTGTGTACACAGGCGGCGCATGAAGCGGTGGTAAGTAGGGGAGGAAAATAGCCCCCACCGACTCATGAATTTTCAGCCGCCAATTGGTGGTCATGGTTGTGATCATTTGCGTTTTGAGAGCATGTAGTCATAGGAAGTTGAGTTCCGCACGAAAGTGACGACAGGACGAAGTGAACAAATTTAACTAGGTCGAGATCTTGTCTTCGTAAAGCACCTGAAGTTGCTTTGAGACGCTAACATGATGAACCTGTACTTGGATTAGTTCAGCTCAGCTGGTTATGTTTTGTATTGGTGAGTGACCGCTTGCTGAGGTGCACAAGGAAACATCACAGACTGATGATCAAAACATTCACGGTATTTTAAACTTAATTTCACTTGATGTGTTTGAAGGCTATGCATAATCGAATTTTGTTAAGCATGCATCATCCACTTTCCTGGAGGGTGTTAACCATAAAAGTTACTAACCAGGTTCAAGAGTGCCATTTACATGGTAGTCTGACTAAACTGCACATTTTACAAAGCCTGTCTGGAAAAGTGGCATCAAGTTTGACATTCATAGACCACTGAACTGAGTGCTCAGAGTTTGGTGCATAGTTATCAGCAATGCAGTGCATACAGAAAGCCCAATTTTCAAGAAATTATGCTGTTTCCAAGGTGATTTTGCACAAGAATGCTTTCCAAGCCTATTTCAAGCAAAGCAAGTTTGGAAATTCAGCATGGGCTGGCCTGGCCTAAGTTTTATGCATTTATATGGCAGGTTTGACTTAAGCATGCAAAAAATGTATTTATTGCACTAAATAAATAATCATGTAAACTGCACTGGACCACCAGACCCTCAGTACCATACTAAGCATTGGTGCACTGAGCCTCAAGTTTGCATGCACCAACTGCAGAATGTGCCAAAATATGCTGAATTTTCAACCAATTTTATGTGAAAAAGTCTTGTCAAGCACTTGCCTCAGCTTATCTTTACAGCAGCATGCTTCCATGAAACATTGGCTGCATGTGCTGCCCTATAGGCATTTAGTGCAGTAGATGGATTTCTCAAAGGCTGGGTAGAAGGGGTATAATGAAATTGTAATGTTATCAACAGTACAACACAATCTGCATTCATATGATACCATTTGTGTTGAGTGTTGGAGATACAACACTAAAGCATTGGTTAGTTCCCTGCAGGTTGAGCCATGCCCACATTTTCTCCTTCACTTGCTTAAATTTGATGTTAGTCATTGGCTGCCCACTGGCAGTTTTGGTTTTGTTCATGTAATAGTTTTTCACCTTTACCTTTGTAGTCATAAATTCCAGAAAAATGACCCATAGTAATCACAGCCATTTTCTCCATAGGATGTGAGCACTTCCTTGGCTTAAACATGCAATGTAGCTTTGCTGCCTATCATACCATAGTTATCTATAGGACCAGTGTCCAGTGAGGCAGCGACCATCATGATCTTGTGATTTTGTTTGCAGATCACTTAAAAATACGGAACTGAAACACTTCAGCTAAGATAGTGTTCATGTCACTCTTGTGTAACCAGAAAATGTTCAAAAATGTTGAGTTACTTTGAAAATTATAATATCAAGTGCATTGTTATTTCAATTATTTATATCACTCAAGCTTGTAATTGCCAAAACTAAGATTGGGTATATCTAGGGATGTAGGTCAGGGTGAGTGTGTGTGCAGTGAGACAGAAGCCATGGTACTGGTGAGCTTAGAGATGTACACTTTGTGCTGGGAAAATGTATGGGATTTTGGAGAATTTGCCCCTGAAAAAGTTCAGATACATACCAGCAAAGATACATGATGGTAATATGTCTGTGATTACAGAGGATGCCAGATTAATGTAATCACCTGGCCTTAATTCTTAATGAATTATCCCCTCTCCTCAGAAGTGACACTAGGTTCATCAAGGGTAGAAAAAGAGGCCTCGCATTGGCCACAAAAAGGAGAGTCAAGCTCAGGGAATCCAACTTCAAGCTGGGGGCAGCCTGACATGTAAGTGCTATTTTTCTGAAAAAAGATACAGACATGCAATTTTTTAAGATAACTGGAAGCACAAAACACCCATTTGATAAAACTGATTTCATGCCCCTCCCCCTCCTGACCAGCCTGTCTACGGTTACACCCATTTCTACAACATTTGTACTCGAGAAGACTCAAAATGCATAGGGACTAAAAACATCAAGAAATCGTGAATTTTTGTTTGCCTGGAGATGTATACTCTGGCATCAAACTGCAGAATATGCATGCTGCACCAAACATGTCCGACGCAGCAGCGGCATCGCGGCCGAAATCTCAGCTCCCGTATGCCATAAATTCGAGCGCTCGGAGCTCGGCATACGGTGTCGCCAATATCAGTGCGAAGAGAGCTAATATTGCAGTGAATTATGATGCTAAGGAGAAAATCTTATTCAGAGGTACCCCAAAACATTTTTCGCACTGAGGTAATTCGAAAATTCGGCACATCGCGCCTTGGCTCGAGTTGGGCGCACGCGAGCTTGAGGCGCAGGGCACCGATGCCGCGTAGGTGCCCAGTGCATTGGACATATTTTCTGCAGGCTGGCCCTGTTGTCATTCGTGTTTTATGATGGGCTTAACCTAGCGTTCGAGAGGCGGTACGCCGGCTGCTGGTCCATTACGGGGCCGCAGAAATCGGTCGCCGGGCCGATCCTCTTCAGCCTTTTCGCGAATGACCTTCGCTGTCTCTTACGGGGCTGTCAAGTGCTGGCGTACGCTGACGATGTCCAGCTACCCAGTCGCGACTCGTCAGACCCTCGAAATCTTGAACCACTAAAATGTCATGTCGCAAACTTTTTGAACACATTACAATGCTGGTTTAGTTCAGATTTACGTAAGATGAACCCAGAATAAAAATTTTTCTTCAATCGGTTCTTGTCAAAACCGCGGAACAAAGCTGAAGACTTCCACCTAAATATAGCTGGGTCAGGTACCAAAACCTCGTCGTCCATACGACTGCTGGCTGTAATAATCGGCCCACGCATGTTCGGGGCCATTGACATCGGCCACGTCGCCAGAAGGTGCAAGCAACGCCCTTCGCAAACCTCTATCGGTCCCGCCACCACTTCAACCGGGCAATGTTCAAACTGCTCGTCGAAACGCACTGATTTGTCCACATTTCATTGAGCATTTCCGTGTGGGGCAGAAACAAATCAGCTAGACCGGCTGAAAAGATAACAAACTTAAGCGCACGTATCGTGCCTGGTGTACGGCGTCGAGCGAGGAGCAGTCCGGCGTTGACGTTTCTGGATTAGGGCCCATGTTGAGCAGCTGGTGGGCGAGAGGGGCCTTCTTAAAGTGTATAAAGCCCTTCATAACCAGCTCAGCCTGTAGTCCGAAGTCGAGCTCGCGAGCTGCCGAGGCACAAACTCGGCCGCACGGAGGGGGTTTCCTACCATGCTGTCGCCTGGGGAACCAGCTGCCTCCGGCCGTCGTCGAGTGTCCGACACTGTCCGCGTTTCGTGCATCGCTGAGAGCACTGGGGGGCCTGAGAGCCACGCGCTCCGTGCTTGTCTGCGTTGACTATTCATAAATGCCATCCTGGCTCACGGCGTGTGCTTGCATTGTGTGTGTGTAGTAAGGTCTGGATATTGTTGCTATGGCTATTGCCACTTTTTTGTCCTGATGCATGTTTGCCTTGCTTTTTGACCTATTTTGTACCTTGTATATGGTGAATAGTCCTGGAAAGCCATACTACATGAATGGATTGTAATAGATTCCATACAGTGTAATGCAATGAAAAGCAAGATATGTGTGGGAATACATTGAAGTCATGCACTTTCATCCAAATTTGAATGCACTTCCCCTTTTAATACCATGTTTTGTTTGTAAACAACCCAGAATCAATTACAAAATTCAGCTAAATTCAAATGATTTTAGCTGCCTTGCTTTTCACTTATGAACATTTTACTGAAATTATGATGTTATTGCTAACCCATGCCAGTTGCCAACCATTCCACCTGTGACTGATTGGCAGCTGCCTGTATGTATAATAGCATAAATTTGATAGGAAATGGTCTAAAACATGTTTTCAACTTAGTCAATGCCCAGCTCATTTTGTCACTGTATATCACATATCAACATGCCCAACTTATTGTTTTGTGTTCATGGCCTCCATATAACGTGCAATAAGCTAATTATGTGCCATTCTGAATCGTCGCTCAAATTCTGTCCCCAGACCAAACCTGGCAACATCTGTGATATAGTTCAAGCCATTGAAGGTAGCAGACATGGAAATCGAGACTGATGGCTTCCGCATCTCCTCCAACTTCGACTCCGGCAACCTGCAGCGGGTGGAGAAGGTCGAGCCGGGCTCCAACCACTTTGATGGCCAAGGTTGGTGGGAAAGCTGTGTCATGATGCATGCTTCAGTGAGACCAGCATCAGCACACATCCACACTCGTTCCTGCATGTGCCAGCAGCTCGTGCTGGTGGTGGAGAAATGTGACCGGAAGTCACCTTTCACCTGATTCTCTGCTCGGTTTGAGAGTGCGCTGGGACACGCAGTGATGGGTCTGGGTATGTGCTGTCACTGTGTGCTCTTCAGCACACATTAGATGGTAATGATGCAATGTTTTAAGGAAGACATGTGATGTTGAGGTGTACCGCTTTTCCTACAAAGTGTCTGATAGTGGTCGAGAGTGACTGCTATTGTCATGTTCTAGTGATTGCAGTTGAGCTCATTGAATTGATATCTACCATACAGCTGTGGAGTTCGTGAGAAGATTGACAGAATGGTGACATCTTGTCAGCGTTTTGCATATTATTCCAGCACTCAAATTTATTTGTGTGATATATAATCATATGTCCATGGAGTGGGTGCTTTTCTGACTACTAACCCCCCCCCCCCCCCATATGATGCATGTCATTCGGTGCTTTTAATATGATGAACCATATGGCCTGTGTTTGAGAATGCAGTGATTTGGCTATTTTGCTTGCCACCACCTAGCTACCCACGGTAATGAATAAACAGGTGCTTTGACCTGTGTTTGTGCATCTAGTGCTCTGCTAGCCCTATTGATTTGCATTGCCGGCGGTCTTTGTGTTCAGCTGCGAGGCGTCATCGTGTCTGCAGACACCGACACCCGGCAATGTCATGACCTCTGTTCATGTGCCGACTTCGTGTCATCAGATGGTTTGTGTTCAGACTCGGTAACCTCCGCCAGTTAGTGGGCAGTCGCCGTCGGTTACGACCGGTCCTCCGTGGCGTCTGTCGGTGTTCAGATCCGCCGCCGCCCGACTCTGACCCGCGTGTGCCTGCGGCAGACGCGGACGACCTGTGCGCCTACGAGTTCAACTGCTGGGTGCGGCCAGACTGCGGCGGCACCGAGTACGAGAACAACAACCGCACCTGGTTCCACTTCAGCCTGTCCGGTGGGTGCCCGGCCGGCCAGCCATCGCCGACCGTGCCGCAAGTCCGTGCGCGTCGCCGCGGCGCCGGGCTCGGCCGGCCGTCGCCGGACTCTTGGCAGCCGCGCGGGCTTTGCGTCCGCCCAATTGCGGTAGAGCGAGCTGGACGTCCGCCCTACTGCAGCCGCGCGGGGCTGATCTCCGCTCTACTGCAGCCGAGTGGGCCGGGCTTCCGCCCTACTGCAGCCGAGCGGGCTTGGCTTCCGCTCAACTGCAGATGAGCGGGCTTGGCTTCCGCTCAACTGCAGCTAAGCGGGCTTGGCTTCTGCTCAACTGCGGCCGAGCGGGCTTGGCTTCCGCCCCACTGCAGTAGAGCGGACTTGGCTTCCTCCCATTGCAGTAGAGCGAGTTTGGCTTCCGCTATCGTGCAGCCGAGTGGCCGTCAGTCAGTGATCGGCTTCCGGGCGAGGCGATTAAAGGGATGTCGTGGATCCTTGGCCATGCAGACTGTTTACCCACGGGAGAGTGCTACGCGTCGATCCACCATGGCGTAACATATGATGCGGCGACCTCACGACCTGTGCCCTGCCTGCAGGCGGGCCGCCGTTCGCCACGGTCCGGTTCAACATGATGAACCTGAACCGGCAAGGCAAGCTGTACGCCCAAGGCATGCGCACAGTATACCGCGTGGAGCCGCTCTTCCCCGAATGGAAGCGACTCAGCGACACACACCTGTACAAGGTTCGGCGCCGCTCCGCCCGACTCTGTCTGACTCTGTGGTTCTCAAATTACGATCTTCCATGTTGCATCGGTACTAGCATCGGAAACATATCGCAGGCCATGTCGAGACGAGTGTCAATTCAAAGAAAAAAGGAGTGGAGAATACATTTTTCCTTGTTAGAGAAAGTTCTGTCGGAGGTCATCTTTCCAGCACTGTTGCAGTATCATCATCAGAATCACCATGATGGCTGCTTAGACCATTGCTCATTTGCTTGGTTTGCTTTTTCTTAATGCCTTTCAAGTGCCTGTGATAGCTTGTCACCCGCCCGACTGTTGCTATCGGAGTCTGGTTATGGGAGAGTCTGCTGATCGTGTACTGTATGTCTACTGCCACGGGCCAGCCCGTCGGTGGCCAGCTACGCTGTGTGGTCAAGAGATTCGGCGAAGCGCTCTGAAGGGTTGCCGCTGGGATGTCAGCCCTTTCCGTACACGGCCGGCGGCAAATAATCCGTTTGCACCGCCTCATAGAACAAAACCAGAACAATGGTGATGGCGGCCGCCCTGTGCCAGCCTGCGATCGGACGCCTCCCGTACCTGCCGATCCGTTTGGCTGTTTTCCAACGTCGTGGTCATCGCACCCGCTCATTTTAGCTAGGGAGAATACTACGGAATGCGATCAGTTTGGCTGGTGTCCGTCCCTGACCCGGCCAGAGCCGTCTGCCGCTCAGTGCTTACGCTGTTGACCTGTTGATTCAGGTGGAGGAGAGCAACTTCGTGATGAGCTTCAAGTACTATACGCTGGAAGACGCCCGCTGCACCACCTACTTCGCCTTCAGCTTCCCATACTCCTACACCGAACTGCAGGTGAGGCGGGCGGGTATCCAGCTGCCATTCGGCCCCAGCCGCGCCCCGACAGCGGTGGATCGGGTATTTTGTGGGTTGGGTGGGGTCCGGTGAGAGGTTTGGCGTGAAGCTCGTCCCTCACCGTTGCCTGGCTCTGGAAAGTCTGTCGTTTGGATCGGGTGTGATTAGAGGTAGGGGGAGGGGGAGGCCGCCCCTCATTGCTATCTGGCTCTGAAGAAGCCTGTGGTTTGAATCGGGTCTGCTGAGATGTGTGGCGGGAAGGCTTTCCCTCATCGCTATCTGGTTCCGGAACATTCCATGGTCTGGATCGGGTCTGATGAGGGATATGGTGGGGGACGGCCGTCCCTCATCGCTGTCTGGCTCCGGAACATTATGTGGTCTGGATCGGGTCTGATGAGCGATATGGTGGGGGACGGCCGTCCCTCATCGCTGTCTGGCTCCGGAACATTCTGTGGTCTGAATCGGGTCTGATGAGGGATATGGTGGGGGACGGCCGTCCCTCATCGCTGTCTGGCCCCGAAACAACGTGTGGTTTGGATCTGGTCTGGTAGGCCGTCCCTCATCGCTGTCTTTTTCCGGAGCATTCTATGGTCTGGATTGGGTCTGATCAGATATATGGTGGGGGACGGCCGTTCCTCATCGCTGTCTGGCCCCGGACCAGGCTGCGACGTACTAGCGCTTAACACGCGATTACCATGTTGGCGACAGATGGAGTTTTTTCTCCTGCTTTGAGGTGATATTCGTCACGAAAGCGAGTAATGATAATTTTTTTGCGCATTAAGGTTGACCCCATATCTCATTATGCCTCCGTCCTTATATGATCTAGCCATGATCTAGCCATTCATCTGGTAAGCCGGGGCACCCACTTCGCTAACTCGATATTGTGGCAGAACGTGCAGTTAATGCGCAGTCACAGTAAAACTTCCACTCCATCGCGCACCTAAGTTCTGGAAGCGTCCGGGACGGGCCTCTGGTCGCGGACGGCGGAGCAGTAGCCCTTGGCTGAACATTCTACTAGTTTGTATGATATTGGCGGGTCACATATAAGTCGTTTTATCGCAACGTTAGGCGGAGGCGTGATGTGGTCATTTATGATGGGAGTTGGCATGTTGGCTGCTAGCTAAAGATATGTTGTATGCTCTTTATTTTAAACATACAGTGCATCCTGTGGGATAATGGTTGGCCTTAAGTAGCAACATGCCGTTGTTCTTCACAGACTGAACTGAACGCTCGCGACCTGCAGTTCCGGCTGTCGCCACCTGTCGACATCTACTATCACCGCGAGTTGCTCACCTACACGCTAGATGGCAGGCGGGTGGACCTGCTGACTATAACGGCGGCGGACGGCGGCGAAGGCCGCGAGATGCGGCTGCCTGGCCTGTTCCCGCTGGCTCTCAGCGAGCCGCGCGCCATCCGATTCCCCGGCCGTAAGGTGGTGCTGCTGTCGGCGCGCGTCCACCCGGGCGAGACGCCCTCCAGTCACGTGCTGAATGGCTGCCTGCGCTTCCTCCTGTCGGCGGACGCGCGCGCTGCCCGCCTCCGTCGGCTCTACGTGGTGAAGGTGGTGCCGATGCTGAACCCGGACGGCGTGGCGCGCGGCCACTACCGCACCAACATCCACGGCGCCAATCTGAACCGGATGTACGGCGACCCGACGCGCGCCCTCTACCCGGAGGTGCACGCCGCCAAGAGCGTGGCGCTGTACCACCACCTGGGACGCGTGCCGGCCGAGTGCGAGGTGCTCGACTCGGAGCCGAGCGTGGCGGAGGTGGACGCGCGGTTTGTGCGGCCGCGCGAGCTGGCGGCCCCCGTGCCGCGGCCGCCCGAGCTGGAGGACGTGTCCAACGACGCCTCGTGCTTCTGCGGCGGCGACGACGAGAGCAGTCTGGGCATGCCCGACCTGAGCCCGCTCAAGTCGCTGCTGCAGCTGACGCCGCGCGTCCTGCGTCCGCCGCCGCCGCCGCTGGGTCCGCCACCGCCGCCGCCGCCTCCTCCGCCGCCGCGCAAGACGGAGGCGTGCGAGGCTGCCGCCACGGTGGCGGAGGCGGCGGTGCGAGAGAGACCCGCCTCGGCGGCCCCGGCGGCCGGCCGTCAGCAGGTGCGTCCCTCAGCGCCGGTCACGTTCGCTGCTGCCGAGGCAGCGAGGCAGGGGCGCCGTCCGCCGGCTGCGAATACGGGACTACTGGTGTGGAGGGCCGAAGCGTATGTGTCTTCTAGGCTGTGCGCTGTGCATGTAAATTGTAGGTGGTCACAAAGGGAACGCTGAGGCTAACGTAACGTGTTTTAACATCGCGTGAGATTGCTATAGACCGGGAGCATGCCACTATAATTATTTGAGCAGCGCCGCAGCGCGATGCATGACAGCACCCGCATGGGACACCCCTGTCGGGTGTGTCCCATCTCTCTGCGGAGCCTGCACTGCGGCCGTCTCTGACGTGGGCTCTCCGCCGAGCGTGTTCTGTAGTATCTGACATGGGCTCTCCGCCGAGCGTGTTCTGTAGTCTCTGACGCGGGCTCTCCGCCGAGCGTGTTCTGTAGTCTCTGACGTGGTCTCTTCCCCGAGCGTGTTCTGTAGTCTCTGACGTGGGCTCTCCGCCGAGCGTGTTCTGTAGTCTCTGACGTGGTCTCTTCCCCGAGCGTGTTCTGTAGTCTCTGACGCGGGCTCTCCGCCGAGCGTGTTCTGTAGTCTCTGACGTGGTCTCTTCCCCGAGCGTGTTCTGTAGTCTCTGACGCGGGCTCTCCGCCGAGCGTGTTCTGTAGTCTCTGACGTGGTCTCTTCCCCGAGCGTGTTCTGTAGTCTCTGACGTGGTCTCTTCCCCGAGCGTGTTCTGTAGTCTCTGACGCGGGCTCTCCGCCGAGCGTGTTCTGTAGTCTCTGACGTGGGCTCTCCACCGGGGCTGATCTGACTCTGGCCTACCGTTTAAACCAGTCTGCTGGAGCCCACACTCGGCGGACAGCCGAGTGTGGGCTCCCTGCCGAACGTTTACTGCAGCCGTCTATGTGACTCGTGCTCTCCGCCGAAGCTGGCATGACTCTGAGCTTTCGCCGGTAGTGGGCCGAGCCACGGCCGAGTGCCGGCTCCGACTCGGAGTCGCTGGTGTCGTCCGGCGAGACGGAGTCGTCGGCGGCCGGCGGCAGCGCCTCCACCGTGGACAGCAGCGAGACAACTGCCGTACCCAGCGACGGCGACTCCAACCTCTTCCTCTACGTCGACATGCATGGCCACGCCTCCAAGCGAGGTATGCGCTCGGGAGAGGAATGAAGGAGGGGTGGACCGGAGGGGGGAGGGGGAGGGGAGGGCAGCAAGGAACAGGGACGCTAGAGGGCTGGCTGTCAGGCAATGTCAGAATATTCCATAATATGAAGGCCGGACTGCAATTACCATGTTCTGGGTAGCAGTTTGTGTGTGGCAGAGGTTGGCAGTTATTCACACGCTAGTACCCGACGATTGTCGTGATTTAGACTGATAGCCTGATGCTGCCTATCTCCCAATTGTCACCGACAAGTACCATGACGACTTAGCCTGAAGGAGCACGGGGATATCTTGTGTGCGAAGCTTGTGGGTTTGCGTCTAGCGTAACTGTCTGGTGCAGATGTTTGAAAAGAGGCACCACCGAGATTCGAACTCGGGATCTCCTGTTTACTAGACAGGCGCTTTAACCAACTAAGCCATGGCGCCGTGGTGGCCGGCTCTGAAGAAAGACAAATGTTCAAGGCCCAGACTATCATCCTCCGAAAGGATGTACTGTTCGCCTGTCCTGACGTCTGTCCACTGATCCGGGTGCGATTTGTACGGTAGCTGGACAAGCCAAGGAGCCCACAATATTGCGGTCCAGCGCGGAAAGGTGCTACGTCACGATACTGCGCGTATGTCAGGTGATGCTTCAGCGGAGGCAGCTGAGGTGGCAATGCACACACGTACGTCGGCCCTCCGTTTCACCTGCTCTGGCGCAAGAAAGACGGAACGGAGAGCAAGCAACTCTCGAGAAGCCTTAAGGCAAGCGTGGTGGAAGATAGTCACTGATGTCCGAGAAGGAGGTAGAGTTAGCGGCCAGTGCTCGCTGGACGTATCCAGAAATGGATGCCACTAATTTTCGACTGTACTTTTTCGACCAGGCTGCTTCATGTACGGCAACCACTTCTCGTCGGAGGAGACGATGCTGGATTGCATGCTGCTGCCGAAGCTGGTCTCGCTGAACTCGGCCAACTTCGACTTCCTCGCGTGCAACTTCACAGAGAAGAACATGCACCACAAGTACGTGTGTCGCAGACGTGGATCGGCTGGCTGCGGAGAGAGCTGCTCTCTAGTGGTTGTCGCGAGTAGTGTGCTGTGATGAATTGCGATTTTATCGCTGTGAACCGTGACCAGCCCATAGAGCCTGCACTGATTTCTGTCAGCTTGTGATTTGTTGGATACTTGGCTGGGCTTACACAGTTGAAATTCACGATACCCATCGATGATCGCCGTATCAGCATTGCCAGTGCTGCCTGGCCCCTGCACGTTTGTCCATCCCGTCAGATGTATCCACAGGCGTTGTGAACGCGTCCCACCATGGGGCGGCGTCCTTTCTGATGTCTGCTGAGACTGTGGGTGGCGTCGCCAGCCCGGTCGCTAGCACGCCAGGCGTCTGGCCGTGCTGTGTAGGCCGGTGCCGGTGTCTGGTCGTGTTGTGGAGGCCTCCTGAGGCTGTGGGTAGCGTCGCCAGGCCTGTCACGAGCACGCCAGGCATCTGGCCGTGCCATGGAGCCGGTGCCGGTGTCTGGTCGTGTTGTGGAGACCTCCTGAGGCTGTGGGTAGCGTCGCCAGGCCTGTCACGAGCACGCCAGGCATCTGGCCGTGCCATGGAGCTGGTGCCGGTATCTGGTCGTGTTGTGGAAACCTGCGGAGGCTGTGGGTAGTGTCGCCAGCCCGGTCACAAGCGCACCAGACGTCTGGCCGTGCTGTGTAAGCCGGTGCCGGTGTCTGGTCGTGTTGTAGAGACCTCCTGAGGCTGTGGGTAGCGTCGGCAGCCCGGTCACAGGCGCGCTGGGCGGCAGGTCGTACTGCGTGAGCCGGTGCCGACGCCTGACCGTGCTGTGTGTAGAGCCGCCGCCGCTGATTGCTGACCGCTGACCGCTGACCGCTGACCGCTGACCGCTGACCGCTGACCGCTGACCGCCGCCGCTCGGCCAGGGGCAAGAAGGACGGCCTCAGCAAGGAGGGCAGCGGCCGCGTGGCCATCTACCGCTCCACCGGCCTGGTGCGCAGCTACACGCTCGAGTGCAACTACAACACGGGCCGCTTCTGCAACGTGCTGCCGCCGCTGCCGGGCGAGCGCGAGCCGCCGGCCGACCGGCCGCTCGTCTTCGAGCCCGTCCCCTACACGCCGGCACACTACGAACAGGTGCGCGCGCGCGTCGGGCCGGGCCGGAACGGGCCCGTCTGTGGGCCGTTGCCGGCGCGGGCGTGTGCCGCTGTGGGTGTGCCCGGCCCGCCCCCGGCGAACGGGCCGCTGCGGGCAAATTGTGTGCGTGTGTGTCGGTTGTCCTGTTCTCGCCGATGCGGACGGGTGTGGACTGCCGCACATCACGTGCTTGTTTGCCAGTAGGCGGTGAGGCTCTGCAGAACACGATGCAGTGTTGGACGCCGAACGATTGTGATTTTCCGAATAGCCATAGGTCCAAATAACTGCATGTGCCCAAAAAGGTAAATGAGATCTTTCTGAGTATGGGATGGGCGTCCAGCGCGTAGTAACGGGTGGCTGGGTGGACGGCCAGCGTGTAACGGGCGGCTGGGTGGACGGCCGTCTGACGTGCGGTGCTCGTGTAACGGATGGCTGGGTGGGTGACCAGCGTGTAACAGGCGGCTGGGTGGGCGGCCGTCTGACGTGCGTTGCCCATGTAACGGGGGGGGGGGGGGGGGGGGCTGGAGGGCGGCCGTCTCACGTGCGTTGCCCATGTAAAGGGTGGCTGGGTGGGCGGCCGTCTGACGTGCGTTTCCCATGTAATGGGTGGCTGGGTGTACGGCTGTCTGACATGCGGTGTCGGGTGGCTGGGTGGGTAGCCAGCGTGTGGTGGTGGGTGGCTGGGTGGGCGGCTGTCTGACGTGCGGTGCCGTGGCCAGGTGGGCGAGGCGCTGATGGTCTCCATCCTGGACGTGACGGGCGACAACCCGCTCTCGCGGCTGGGCCGCTCCGAGTACCGGGACACGGCCGGCGTGCGCGCCTGGATCAGAAGGTCAGTGGAGACCGCCCCGCCCGCCCACGGCCGGTGTGCGCGCCTGGATCGGGAGGTCAGTGGGTACCTCCCCGCCCGCCCACGGCCGGCATGCGCGCCTGGATCAGAACGTCAGTGGGCACTGCCCCGCCTGCTGCCGGCCGGCGTGCGCGCCTGGATTAGAAGGTCAGTGGGTACCGCCCCGCCTGCTGCCGGCCGGCGTGCGCGCCTGGATTAGAAGGTCAGTGGGTACCGCCCCGCCCGCTGCCGACCTGCGGTCGCGGCGGGCAGTGGGCACCGCTCCGTCTCCTAGCTGCGTGTCTGCGGCCGTGAGCAGACGTCTCCTAGCCGCGTGTCTGTGGCCGTGAGCAGACGTCTCCTAGCCGCTTGTCTCTGGCCGTGAGCAGACGTCTCCTAGCCGCGTGTCTGCGGCCGTGAGCAGACGTCTCCTAGCCGCGCGTCTGTGGCCGTGAGCAGACGTCTCCTAGCCGCTTGTCTGTGACCGTGAGCAGACGTCCTCTCGTCGCGTGTCTGTGGCCGTGAGCAGACGTCTCCTAGCTGCGTGTCTGTGGCCGTGAGCAGGCGTCTCCCAGCCGCGTGTCTGTGGCCGTGAGCAGACGTCTTCTAGTCGCGTGTCTGTGGCCGTGAGCAGACGTCTCCTAGCCGCGTGTCTGTGGCCGTGAGCAGACGTCTCCTAGCCGCGTGTCTGTGGCCGTGAGCAGACGTCTTCTAGCCGCGTGTCTGTGGCCGTGAGCAGACGTCTTCTAGCCGCGTGACCGTGGCCTTGAGGAGACGTCTCCTAGCCGCGTGTCTGCGGCCGTGAGCAGACGTCTCCTAGCCGTTTGCCTGTTACCGTGAGCAGACGTCTTCTAGCCGCGTGACCGTGGCCGTGAGCAGACGTCTCCTAGCCGCGTGTCTGCGGCCGTGAGCAGGCGTCTCCCAGCCGCGTGTCTGTGGCCGTGAGCAGACGTCTCCTGGCCGCGTGTCTGTGGCCGTGAGCAGGCGTCTCCTAGCCGTTTGCCTGTTACCGTGAGCAGACGTCTGCTAGCCGCGTGACTGTGGCCATGAACAGACGTTTCCTAGCTGCGTGTCTGTGGCCATGAGCAGACATCTCCTAGCCGCGTGTCCGCGGCCATGATCAGACGCTCACCGCAGCACGCCCCGCCTCCGCAGGTTCATGCAGGTGACCAAGTTCGGCGAGAACAACATCCTGTTCTCGCCGGAGAAGACGGCCCGCACCATGAAGACGCTCACCAGCGAGCGGCAGCGGCGCGTGAGTGCCCCGCCACGCCCCGCCGCGCCGCGCCCCGCCGGCGCCGCTCAGTGTTCGTCCTCTCCCGGCAGACCGGCCCGGTTCACTGTGCACACCTCCGTCATCACCGTGCGTGGATTGTTTGGGTTGGGGACGCCAGCTGAAAACGCGGTCAGGTGTACGCCACCTTAGATCTGGCATTTCACGTACGCCGTGTCCTCCAGGCCTACAGCTCGCGACTGGTGTTACTCCTGTCGGGCGTGTGGTTTCCTCTGCCCGTGTCTTTTGGCTGGTACACAGCGCGCAAGCCGTTAACATTGCATTGTCTCTGCTGTGCCACGCCACAAATGGCGTGTTGTGAGCATACCCCAACCGGTGAGTCGCGTGTGTCCGGTGTCGGCCAGACCCCGGCCCGTCGGGCGGGTGATGGCAGCGCCGCTCTCTCTCCGCTTCAGACGTCGTGCCCGCCTGAGGAGCGCAGCCTGACGGCGGCGGCGGCGGCGGGCTCGCCGGCCGGGCCTCCGCAGCGTCGCCTGGCGCCGGCCGTCTCGCCCGGCCGCTGCGGCGACGCCCGAGACCGCCGCCGGCCCGCCCGCCGACTCAGGAAAGGTCAGCAGCAAGGCGGGTAGTTGGGTCAGAGGGGCGCCAAGGGCGGGGCGCGACGGCCGGATGTGAACCGTCGTGTTGATGTTTCCCTCGTGGTCATTCTGTCACTGTTCTGATTCTGTTGCGGTGTGTTGTGAAGAACTGCATTGGTCCCACATCCGTGTAAGCACGCATTAGTGTAACCACCCACGGCGCATTGTGGACGTTCGTGGACGTGGCGAACATATTGCAGGAATGAATTGTATTCATGTTAAGTACCGCGCTATTCTACTTTGATAATAGATGTGCGAAAATCACGTGCGCACGTGCACCAGACGGCTCTTCCCGCCAGCAGCTTTAATATCGCACACGGCATCGAAGGCAGTCGCCACTGTGTGATCGGTGGACACCAGAGCAGGCCTCCTCGGCCGCCGTCACCGTGTGATCGGTAGACACCAGAGCAGGCCTGCTCGGCCGCCGTCACCGTGTGATCGGTGGACACCAGAGCAGGCCTCCTCGGCCGCCGTCACCGTGTGATCGGTGGACATCAGGGCAGGCCTCCTCGGCCGCCGTCACCGTGTGATCGGTGGACACCAGAGCAGGCCTCCTCGGCCGCCGTCACCGTGTGATCGGTGGACATCAGGGCAGGCCTGCTCGGCCGCCGTCACCGTGTGAGCGGTGGACATCAGGGCAGGCCTGCTCGGCCGCCGTCACCGTGTGAGCGGTGGACACCAGAGCAGGCCTCCTCGGCCGTCGTCACTGTGTGATTGGTGGACACCAGAGCAGGCCTCCTCGGCCGCCGTCCCGCCTCGGCCCCGCTGACCGGCGCTGTCCTCGCTCCCGCAGCCAAGAAGCTGTCGCCGGCCAAGGTGGAGGACCAGGAGAACGCCGCCGTGACGCCCGCCCGCAAGCGGTCGGCCGACGCCGTGCTGGCGGCGGCGGCCGCGGCGACCAAGGCCGACGGAGAGCTCGCCCTGAACAAGGTGCGGTCTGGCGGCGAGGCGCGAGCGCTCTCTCGGCCTCCTCTTGTGGTGTCAGTCGGCCCGGCCGGCTTCTCTCGGGCCGGTCTGCCCGAAGGACGTCTGCGCCCATCACTGTTGTGCTTCGGCGTGTGTGATGTATTCAGCTGAGCGGGCTTTTCCGAGGGAGGTTCACCGCCTGACGGACGTCTGTGGCGATGAATGACCTCTCGGGGCGCGGCCCAGTTTGTCAGCGTAGGTTTGCCTGGGGCAGGAGTGAATGGCGGCCGTGTGTGTGTGTGTCGGGGGGGGGGGGGGGGGATGTTCCTCTGAGTTCAGTATTCTGTTACAGTATTTGTGGCGCGACCCTTCGGAATGATGAAGGGATAGGTAGTGCTTGTTTTTCCCATGGTTCATGCTCCATCTTCGTCGCGATGTGTTATGAAACCGTTGGGACCGAACAAACGACGTGTAGCTTCGTGGTCCCGCTCCCTAACGCGGCCAGTTCGGGCTTGGGACGGATGTGAAGTACCCGCGGCGGACCCACTCTTTTGTAATGTTTTCCGAAGTGCAAATCACGCCAAGAGGATACAACATTGACACTAGTAACCTTGACGGCGTGGTGCCTGCTCCAGGACACACAGCCGGACGTGGTGAGCCTGGCCGGACCCAGCCGTCTGCGGGTCAAGAGTCCCGTGCTGCAGCCCCGCTCCGGCTTCGGCCAGATCGCCTCCCCCGGTATGGCCGCCCGCTGCCTGCTGCCCCCTCCCCCGCGGGGGTCGCGGGTCATCGGCTCTTGCGGAGGATCGGCTCGTGCCACTCGCGGCTAAAGGTCACGGGAAACGTATGTGGCAACGTTGTTTTAGGTTTTGTTTTTCTTTGAGGAAGGATGCCATCACCCACCCGCAAAGGCCATCATTTGAAGGGTCCTGACGTTATCCTTCTGCCCAAAGAATGTTTAACAGACGAGAGGTGTTCTTCCGTGAGCCAGCCGGTGGTGTTTTTTTTTTTTGGATTATAGCCCTTTCGACCAGACATGGTCATTTCAGGGCTATGGGATGAAGGAAAATGGTTAACGGTGGGACAGGCGTGCATGCGCCGGGGGGCCAACCGCCGAGCTTTAACCCGCGCATGCGCAGGTACCCGGCGGGGTCCTCCTTCCCACGGGGCTCTCGGCCTACTCGTCGCTGAGGCATGCAGCGGGGTGTCGCGGACAAGCGGGGTGTCGCGAGGATGCAGGATGAAGCGAGATAGAGGATAAGAGGGGCGGATTCCAGCCGGTGGTGGCCCCTCGCTGACCCGTATCGTGACCCACCGTCAGGAAACACTCCGCCGGGCCTCACCCGCAAGCCGGCCGGTCGGCGCGCCCTCTCCGAGAAGCGCAAGGTGCTCAAGCCGACGCCGGTCAAGCTGGGCGAGAGCGCCGTGCTGGGGCGGGGCGCGCCCAAGCTCCGGCGCTCCGCCAGTCTCGTCAACGCCGGGCTGGCCGAGGCGCCGCGCCCAGAGTCCTCTGTCGTCGGCAACCTCAACCTCATCCTGGGCGACAAGCACCAGGTGGCGGGCATGGCGTGGGCCGACCAGCTGCCGGCTGCGTCCGGGCTGGCGAAGCCGGCGAAGCGCGCGCCGAAGCGGAGGAAGCGCGTGGCGAAGCCGGAGGAGGCGGCGGCACCGGTGCCGGAGGCGCTGCCGCCGTGCCGCAGTCTCGGCCACCTGATCCAGCTGGTCAGCACGCCGCCCGTCAGTTTCTCCAACCTCTTCATGGGCTCGGCCAGCACCGGCGAGCTCGAGTCCACGGCCTGCACCGTCGGCTACGCACAGCTGGCCTCGGACGGCGGCGCCAGCAGCGGCGCCGGCGGCGCCGGCGGCGGCTGGGCGGGCCGCAGTGAGCCGACGCTGGACGCGCAGGACGAGTCGGCCACGCTGCCGGACGAGCTGCCGCCGGGCCGGCTCGAGAGCTGTGGCAGCTCGCCGCTCAGCTTCGCCGGCGCGCTCAGCAGCGCCAGCAACAGCCCGCGCGCCTCGCCGCCGGCCGCCGGCGCGCCGGCCCGGCCCGGCGGCCGACCGACCACCGCCGGCTCGCCGCCGCAGTCCGAGGCGGCGCCGGCGGCGGGGCTTGCCCCCGGCGGCGTGGCGGCTGGCGGTGCCGCCGGGGCGGAGGCGGGGACGCCGGCGCCGCGGCTGGCGCGCCGGCCGGCCGTCAAGACGCGCGGCAGCACGCGCCTGACGGCCAAGAAGTCGGCCCGGCCGCCGCGTGCCAAGCGGCCGGCGCCGGCGCCGCGCGAGCCGGCTGAGCCCTCGACGTCGGCGGCCGGCGGCCCGGCCCAGCTGGCGGCCGAGAAGACCACCAGACAGCCGCGCAAGAAGCTGGCCCGCAGGTGAGGCGCGACGCTCGGTCCGGACCCCAGGCGGGGGTTTGGGGATTGCGGAAGGGATAGAGGACCAAGTGTGGCTCGCGTAGATGCGATGGGCACAGTTCGGGCTTCATGGGCAGTGCTGTTCCCGCCTTGTTGTTCGGCGCTCGGTTTCTTGCGAATAGTGATTTCGTCATGGTGCGTGACACCTATACACACACACACACACACACACACACACGCACGCACGCACGCACGCACGCACGCACGCACGCACGCACGCACGCACGCACGCACGCACGCACGCACGCACGCACGCACGCACGCACGCACGCACGCACACACACACACACACACACACACACACACACACACACACACACACACACACACACAGATATATATATATATATATATATATATATATATATATATATATATATATATGTTTGTAGTTACCTGACTGGTGTATGCAGAGCAGAATGGGAACTCCTTTTCGCGCTTGAGATTTATCTTTTTCGAGTTGTGGTGATTGTGATTCTGCTAGCTTCTCCCTGCTTTTCGGAAATTAAATTGACGGCGTTTCATTGTACTGAGATGAAAGCGAGTGTTATGGTTTCAAATTGACGACTTCAAAAGAAATGCAGTACGAATGGAACATTTATTTGAAATACCCAAATCAAGAGGAAGGCTTCCTTGGAAGCGTATAACTCGGGCATCTGATATCTCTGAATGTCGTACACTGACTTCGAGGTGTTAGCTTATTGTTTTTACAGATTTGTGGCGAAAATATATAGGAGTTTTTTTGCTGGGCAAAAGCGCCTTCTCCTTGTGCCCTCATAGCTCAGCTGGTTTCAGCGCACGCCCTCCGGTCCATGCCCACGTGGCGGGGTGGGTTCGAGTCGCTTCAGACGCTTATTATTTGTTCTTGGCTGGGATGACCTGCGGCCGGCGATAGCGGCCTCGTTGAAGGTCAGGTGACGTCAGAGGGCGGCAGGGCGGACAGTTCAGCGGGGATTTCACGATGGGATGGTTGGGCCAGGGCTCACGCAACGAGCATTGCTTAGCATGAACGCTGATGTTCAGAAAGCCGTCCATTTTAGGGCCTTTTAACCGGCCTTTTGGGGCCGGACTGAATCTTAAAAACAAAGTTTTGTTCTTAATTTCATATCGTCTTTTATGCCTTCTCGTGTCGGAGCCAATACGCAAAACTAAATAGCCCTTTGTATTATGTTTCAACAGGTGGATAAGTGAAAGACCATGTGAGTGATATGCCTTCAGTTTTGGGGATTTCTTCGTCATCTTTAGGTCGCTCCTGCCGCCATGCGTGATCTGAAGTCGCGAATCACGCCAGTCTATCAGACCTCCCATGTCGCCATTACATGATGTATTTCACTTCGACAACCAGCTTTCGAAAATGGACTAAGCCCATGAAATATGGCGTGCTAACTGTTTCGGGAGACCCCATTCTGGCCGGCTAAGGTTTTACGGTGTTTTGCTGCGTCCGTTTTGCAGGCAGTGTGTATCGTATGCTGTCCATGCAGATTGTACCACATATCAGTGAATTGGCAATCTGGCCGTTTTCCACCTTGCACTGAGAACAGTGGCAGGCTCAGAAGTTTACAGGACGCACAAATAATACTACGTGCGTCATGTTATGCGGCTGTGGTTCTTTCATCTGAAGTACCGGTGCGACTGGTCCTCGCTAGGCACTGTTTGTGTAGAAAACGGCACTGTCGTCGCAGATGCCTGCCTGCCCCCCCCCCCCCCTCCCCCACTACCATACTACGCAGTTCGAACAATGGGTCAATTTTGCCAGTCTTGTTACCAGATAACACTGAAGGTTATTTGACGTCGCGTGCGACAAGTTGACGCGGTTGCCTCTGGTAGATGGCGCCTCCGTGATGGATGAACTGTTCCCCTGCTGGGTGAAGGTGTCCCGTCCCGCCTGTTATGGCTGTTACCCGCGGTGCCGGCTGCTCGTTAGACCGCTATGAGGTCTATGAGGTCTTTCTACCACAGCCGTTCTAAATAATTGGTCTCCTATGGTGGAGCCATTTCACTGTGTTCATAAGTAGGGTGTTGCTCTGCGCCCCAAAGCCGTATTGCTTTGAGGATAGTCGTGTGTGTTGTGAGACCACTTGAAGTAACTGGCAAGACATGCATCATCATAACGCCCGCCGCAGGAAGCATCGCGGACGCGAAGCAATATTTTATGAACTGTATTATCTTGTCGTTGGAGAGCCCTAGATTAAAGTGCCCGCAATGTGAGCAGAGCAGGGAGTGCTCTTTCGAATTTTAAAACGTAAAATTAATTGAGAGAACGCTCTGCCGGCCGCGTTGTCTGCCAGCTCGGTGGCCGGTGCAGGGCCCACGCCCGCGCCCAGGCCGGGCAGAGGCGGCGCGGTACCCGGCTGCTGACCTCTGGTCGCTCGCAGGGCCTCGGCTCCCGCCTGTCGCGCCGACCAACTCACTGCCATCGAGCTACTGACGTCACCCACGCTGGTCAGTGACGTCACCGCCGCCATGGAGACGATGCGGCCCAAGGTGAGTGACGTCATCCGCGCGATAGCGGGTGTCTGTGACGCAGGGTAGGAGCCCACGCGGTGTTATGTTTTGTTATGGCCAGTTGCAGTCTTTTTGAAAGCGCTTGGTCTGCACGACGTATGATTTGGTGATGTGATGTTTTAAACGATACCCACTAGCCATTTTAGAACTGGAGACACGGTTTTGACCCGCGACGTGTGGCAGGTCTGTGCGTATGCTTTGCTATATGTTTTGTTTTCTTTTTGCGGATGCTTTGCTTTAACGTGCCGAGCATTGCGACGCGTTAAACTGGCGTCACCAAAGTGTGCCGTTGACATGGAATTTTACCTTTGAATGGTAGGGATCGGGGCTCGCACAGCAAGCAAAGTACTGCTTACCTTGAAGTCTGATCCCAGAAACCCATCCATCCAGTGTCCAGATCAAATCTAAAAAATATCCTGCGTGAATGCATTGCATGACGTGCCTTATTACCATGGCTTTGTGGCCTTCGTTCGCACTCCCATAAGATTTCCCAGCGTGACAAATGGTCGGGATTTCTAAACCCGCTAGGTCAGGGGTGTGCCGCGTGCTGCCACCGGCTTAGCAGAATTAACCGATCAGCGGTCCGTTCGTCAAGGATCACTGTTTCCCGGTGAATACTGCGGGCAGATGTCAATTTTTTTCGTTTCGTTTTTGTCTTGCGATGCCGAAAACACCGACGCCTGGCCGTAGGTCAGACGCAAGGGATGCCCCACGGCTCGCCTGTCCTGTCACTGCGCCACACTTTCCGTACGATATGCGGCTCTGAATCACACGCACCACCTTCGAAGAGCACCAGCCGCCCCGACCTGTACGCGACCTCCTGTCGCTGTGGTCCCGCTTTTAGCCCACCTCCCCCGTCGTCGTGCTCAGTCACGCTCGCGGCCTCCGCCTCCCCTTCTTCCTCAGTCCTTATTGGAGCCTCCCCCGGCCTTTTTCCCCAGTCCCGGTTGCAGCCTCCCCTGTCTTCCCCAGTCCCGTTTGCAGCCTCCCGCTGCCGTCCTCAGTCCCGTTTGCAGCCTCCCCCGTCTTCCTCAATCCCGTTCGCAGCCTCCCCGCCGCTGACCGCCCGCCCGCTTTCGTCCTCAGCTGGGGAAGGGTCGTCTGAAGAAGAGCCGGCCGCCGGGCCCTCGCTCGGCCTCGGCCTCGGCCACCTCGCTGACGGCGGCCGACGAGGGGGCGCCGGACGGCGGAGCGCGCCGCTCTGTCTCCGAGGGGCCGCGCTCGCCCGAGCAGCCGCCGCCGCTGCCGCTGCCGCCGCCGGCCGCCCGCGTCCTCAAGAAGAAGCACGCCAAGCTGGCCAAGCGGCCCGGGCTGGAGCGCGGCCGGCTGGCGCTGCAGCAGGTCAAGAAGCGTAAGAAGATGAAGGAGAAGGTGTGAGAGGCCGGTGTAGGGGCCGCTGTTGAGAGCGAGTGCCGGACGGTGCCGGCGGCTGGGGGGAGACACCAGCCGTCTGGTGTCCGCCCTTCACCGTCACCGGTGGAGACCGGGCGTCGGTTCTGGCGGCTCCAGCTGAACGAACTGACCGCTGAGCAGACCGCGGACCCAGCTTAAGGGCTTCACTCTAGGGCACCTGCGCCGGCGGTACCGGCTGCGGCGGCGGCGGCGGAACGTCAGCAGCGCCGGCCGAAGCGAACGAACGCGTCGGCGACCGTCGTGCTCGCCGTGGAGCTGGCGCGTCCGGCCGGTGGTGGAGCATCCGCCCCGCGTGATCACCTGTTTACGTTATCCGGCGGCGTGTTGAGACCCAGAGAAATTGTCAGCAGCGCCGGCCGCTTGTCGGAGTTAATATTTATTATAATTGACCCGTCGCACGGGACTCTTTGGAAGACTGTGATAGCGTGTTTACCGATGGATTTCGCTGTTTTATTTATGGGAAGCCGACGGACAGGTATCTGATGGATCATGGTCTCAGCACCAGGACGTGCGAGTCTCAAAGTTGACTGGGACGCCGCCAGTCGGGGGACACCCCGGTGGCCGGCCGTGTGGTGGCTTGTTTTTCGGCGGCAGTATTGATCTGTTTCAAATGTGACTCATCTGTTTTGGTATTGGCCGGCGGGGGGCCGAGACGCCGAGCCAAAGCTGCCGGTTGAGGGGTGCGGTTCGCGAAGTGGCCGGCCCATAGGTGCCGGGGGAGGGGGAGGGGCGTCACGCGACGGCTGGTGTCCGCCCGTGACGGCAGTGACGACACTTTTGAACGATAGGATCGACGCAGCGAATCATTTTGCAGCTAGTGATGGAGACGATTAGAATCAGCCGCGGGGAGGGGATGGCTCGGATGAAGCCGCGTCTGGTCGCCCTGCTGGGTGTCGTTCTGCTGACCCGTCACGCCGGATGATCGTCCACCGACCTCTCGCGTTGTTCACCTGCTCAGACACGGCGTCGTCAGCCGAGTGCTCCGCCTGCGGAGAAGGCGTGCTCGTCTCAGACCGCCGGTAAACTGGTTCAAAATCGTGAAGCTGTGCATCTGCCGTACGCGACCGGTGGTGTTGTTCGTCGTTTCCAAGAACGCAAGTACATTGACTTGAGGCGCTATTTGGAGTACCATATTCGCCGTAGCAACGAGCATTTGCGCTGCAACGGGAGTTCACCCGGTACTGGTTTTTGCCCTTCGAACGAACGTCGAAGTTTTCTATCAAGTGGAAAAGATGAATGTGGCAGACGTGTTGTACATATGTTCTCAGGCGGCCCGTGCTGCTCGACTTGCTTCAGACGCATCGAAATCCCTCGAGTGAAGCGAGCGCTCCCGTCGTCCCGGGCACAGCCACCACGGGCCCTGATCAAGCCGGCCGAGATTAGACCCCTTCAGCGAGCGGATTGTTGTGAGAGGACGCGGCTTCTCCGCGTGACACGGTCCCATGGGAATTCAGTCCCCTGGGCGGCGTTCGTTGATCTGATCAAGCGTGCTGCCGGGAGCTGACGTCGCCGAGCCGTATCACGTACCTCATAACCGGGGTCGGCGCGGTCCACACTGCCCGGACCCAACTGTCGCCCCGCGCCGGCCTGCGCGCGGGGCCTGCTGTACTAACGAACTCTTCCCCAGCTTGTTGGCACAGTAACTGGACTGTTGTCCAACTGTCCGAGGACTGTTGGTAATTAGTGGAGATCGTGCGCCGCTTGTGGTATTTCTCCGCTCTGTCGCGTCTGGTGGGCACCAGGCGCCGGCTCGTTTTGTGTTCGGTAGTCTGTCCGACGTGTAGGCTTTCGTTGGCGGCGTTGCTGTAGAGCTGTAGAGTATTTGACGCGTACCGAGATAAATCCGTACCAGTATCGCTGACCGTGGCTTTGCATGCGAGTGAGGATGTACAGTGAGGATGTACGGTGTGGCAATAAAATGAGGAACATTGAGAGCACCATTACATTTCCACGGACTGATTGGACGGGACATCAGCATCGCACGGGTAGCATAATTGGTCGGACTTTTGTTCCCGCGTGCTGAGTTAGCGCTGATGCAGGGCCCTGATAATAATTGGCCGGCATCTGAGAATCAGGTAGATGGTCTGCTGCGCATGCGCTTCGGCTGCCTTGCCGGCGATCATTTGGTGGCAGTTTAAAGAAGCCTGGGACGTGTCTTTATTGCCCCGCCACTGCTGATCAAATGTGACATGGTGCCGACGTCGTTTATGTAGAGTGCTGGGCGCAGGCAGGGGCCGGTGGCGTGAGCTGAACGCAGGTAAGGGCTGGTGGAGGGGGCTGAGTGCAGGTCGGGGCCGGTGGAGTGAGCTGAGCACAGGTCGGGGCCGGTGGAGTGAGCTGAGCACATGTCGGGGCCTGGAGCGCAGGTCGGGGCTGGTGGAGTGAGCTGAACACAGGTCGGGGCCGGTGGAGTGAGCTGAGCGCAGGTCGAGGCCGGTGGAGTGAGCTGAACACAGGTCGGGGCCGGTGGAGTGAGCTGAACACAGGTCGAGGCCAGTGGAGTGAGCTGAACACAGGTCGGGGTCGGTGAAGTGAGCTGCACACAGGTCGAGGCCGATGGAGTGAACTGAGCGCAGGTCACGACCGGTAGAGTGAACCCGTTCCCAGAGCGGCGTTCTGCCCAGCGCTATTGGGGACCGCTACCGGCGAATGGCAAAGGCGACCGTCATCACCGGCCGTGCGCCGATGTGGCCATCACCACGGGATAGCGTCTGCTGGGTTCGCAGGCCCTCCGATCAAAGCCGAATGATGTCCGAGTGTCGTGCGCCGCCCCGCGAACGGCGGGCTGGGAGACGGTAACCGCCTCAGCGGCGTGATATCCGCCGGGTCACGGGATGGGTGTCCTCCCGGGCAGAGCTGACCGTCCGGGGCTGACTAATGGACGGAGATCACGGGATGGGTGTCCTCCCGGGCAGACCTGACCGGGGCCCGCTGATGGACGGAGGTCACGAAATGGGTGTCCTCCCGGGCAGACCCGGACGTCCAAGGCCCGCTAACGGACGGAGGTCACGGGATGGGTGTCGTCCCGGGCAGAGCTGACCGTCCGAGGCCGACTAATGGACGGAGGTCACGGGATAGATGTCCTCCCGGGCAGACCTGAACGTCCGAGGCCGACTAATGGACGGAGATCACGGGATGGGTGTCCTCCCGGGCAGACCTGAACGTCCGAGGCCGACTAACGGACGGAGATCACGGGATGGGTGTCCTCCCGGGCAGAGCTGACCGTCCGAGGCCGACTAATGGACGGAGACCACGGGATGGGTGTCCTCCCGGGCAGAGCTGACCGTCCGAGGCCGACTAATGGACGGAGACCACGGGATGGGTGTCCTCCCGGGCAGATCTGACCGTCCGAGGCCCGCTGATGAACTCGTCAAGCGGGATGATGCGAGACTTAAACGAGTTGTGCTATCTGGACAGCTTTTCTTTTGTGATCCGGCTTGCTTGATGGATGGACCTCTCGCGACGCTGCAGCGTAAGGCAGCGTGACTGAATTTCTGAGGAGTCGATGCCCAAATGGACACCACGCACGCCACCAGCGGTGAAATCTCGGCGGCAGCGCAGCTGGGCGTCAGTGTGAGGATGGGTAAAGCGACGGGAGAGATGACACTCAACTGAGTCGGTCAGATGGCCGGAGAGCCTTTCACGCCGGGCAGCGGACGCAGTGCTCACATTGGTAGCAGAGGTATTGAACTGGGCCGCCATTGGACCGCGATCGCTGCGTCGCACCTGAGGATGCGCCGTGTCGGCATCGACCGTGTCCATGGCAACGGAGAGGCAGCCTCAAACCAAGATGCCTTACGCCTGGGCTGTTCAGCCTTGGTCTGAGCCGAGGCTTTTAACACCCGCACCGCGTAAGGTTTTTCCCGTGTTTATTGACTGAACTGGGGGGGGGGGGGGGGGAGGAACGGGGTGAGAGCTGAGCTGTGGTTAAGTGCGCAGCAAGCATCTTGGAGATACTTGCGAAGCGCCCATCTGGCTACGTCATGAAGCTTTTGGATTGCATGAGGACGTTCCCTGGTCCCCATCTTGGATGAAGCTCAGTACGCAGTTAGAGTCCACGGGTGTCGCAGACTACCGCTCCCCACATGCTAGAAACGCTGAGCCTGCGTTGAGCAATCAACAGCAGCCAACGTAGCCCTAATCCTGACAACATGGCGCATGCACATGCACAGCAAAGTGAGGAGCTGTCCGTCGTTGTGAGAGGCCTCAACACCCAGTGCCTGCTCCTCCCGTGCGCCTTCTGAAACTGCCAAAACGCTGCTGAAGGCGTCCAGATGCAAAGCGACCAGTCTGGCTTTTTTAGTGTCCCAACAGTCACGCCAACGGGCCTGTCGTTTGTGTCACGATCGCGGGTGTTCATCGACGTCCTTCGCTCTCCACAAGCGCTCGTCAGCAAGACTCGATTCGACGCCCGACGAGATCGTCATTTGGGAACGGCCCGAAGTTTATTGGACGGCAAACTTTACCGGCGCTCTCACGATGGTGACGACACATCCGCCTCGCCTGCCCAGCGGCGGGCGGCAGCGGGGACGGGGGCAGACTGCAGTCAGTGGCACAAGCAAGCGGGCACCAGGGCACCTTAGGTCCTAGGGGTCCTTCAGACCCTTTGAAACCGACGATTATGGTCCCTATTTGAGGGAACAAAGGGCTCGCCGGAGGTTGTGGTAAGTACGAGTTAGAAGGCCATTTGCGCCGACTCGAGCCCCCTTTGGACGATGGGGTCTTTTGTCAGTTTGGCATGGCTAGTGCCGAACAGTCATCTTCACGTCTATCTGGGCACGGAGGCATAAGGAGCGGGGTCCGCGATTTACATTGGTCGGGGCTCCTGAGTCATTGGAGCCCCCCTTTCCCCTATATCCCCTATAGGATCCCCTATAGGTGGATCCTATATCCCCTATAGGTGGATCCCCTGTGTCGACAAGCGGCCCACAGTGCCCAGCAGGGGGCGCTGCGTGGGAAAAGGGCACTAATTGGCCAGGACAGTGCTCGAGGGGACCCTCGGGACCCTCGGGACCAACGTTCTGGGTCCGATTGGAAGGCAAAGGGCCAAAGAACTCGACGCAGGTCACATGAACGCCGTGATTCAGAAGAAGGGCGAGACAACCCCTTCTCACCACCTGGTGGCGACCAGCGAGCTTGAGCCACCTCGGGTTGACGTCATGCTACCGCAAGAAGACACCGCGCTCGACACTATTAAATGCACAACTCTTATTGATAGGAGTGATATCCTATATATCCTATATATAATAGG